AGCTGAAAGTTGTCAACGGGTCCGCTGCCTCACAAGCTGCCGCCGCCGCAAAACGTAAACGTCGTTGGGACCAGACAGCTGACCAAACCCCCACAAATACTACACCCAAAAAAGTGTCCAGTTGGGATCAGGCAGACAACTCTGCTGAGGTAAGTCCTTCATGTTTCAGACTCTTACTGCTTGATGAATAATTGAATCTCCTTACTGTGGGTATGCCTATTTTTGGTTGATTCCTCTTTAAGTACTTGGTACGAATCCAGACATAAAGGCAAGTGGTTTTTCAAATGCTGTAAGAATAGACTTGTGATATTGTGGTTATAAAATGTAATTTATGGTCCTGTTATATTGCTGCTAAACCTCCCTGTTTATCCAGGTGTGGGGCTTCCTTTGTGCTGCAAGTAAGAAGGCAAACTGTATTTTGGCATATTTTATATTGAGGGATATAGCTAACCCTCAACATATTTTAAAATTGATGTTATTTTAAAGGGGACCTATCATGCTAAATGCACTTTGTGATGTATTTTATACATAAACATGTGTCCCCGGTGTGTCAGGGAACTCATGCAGCGTCAGAAAATAAAACCCTCTCTCTTTTCCTCCTTACCCACATCTCTAAAAACGGGGATACAACGGAGCTGATCGAGATTTGCGTCCGTTATGACGTAATATCGGCCCTATCAGAAACGTTGCTATCAGAAACAATGCCCGACTCTTTTGGACGTAATATGGTCGGTGTTTACATTAGCATGGCTAACACTCAGAGCTAACCTGTACTGGAGAGCATGTGTGTGAAGAAGCAGGAAGTAAAAAGGAACTCACCTTGTGGTATAACCGGCAAGAGAGAAAGCCTTTGAGCTCCATACTGTTTCAGAGAGAATCCTTGATAATCCATGATATGGCGTTTCATCACCGCAGTATTTAGTTTAGACGGTAGCTGCCGGGTCCCGCATGAGATCAGACCCCCCCCTTTTTTTTTTTTTTCAAAAATATATTTTTTAAGCTTTATACCCAAAATCTGCACTTTTGAGATGGAGGGATTTGAGGCATGGCTAGAATGGGTGATCTGTTTGGTGTTTTGAGCAAAACACTTCATAGACATATTTTTTTATATATCTGAGACCTATGCTATTGCCTAAAAATAGCATGATGGGTGACCTTTAGGGCTAAACGCAGGCAAAAACGGAAGACTTAGTAAGATGGAAAAAACATGGACGTTTTTGCAACGGCACAGCCTTGGTCCAACTCACTTTGTAAATCCCATATTCTCTTTGTATCTTTTAGACCCCAGGACACACACCAGGACACACCCCTGCACACACACCTTCAAACAGCCGATGGGATGAAACCCCCGGCCGCCCCAAAGGCAGCGAGACCCCCGGGGCGACTCCCAGTAACCGCATGTGGGACCCCACTCCCAGCCACACCCCCGCAGGTGCTGCCACCCCAGGCAGGGGCGACACACCGGGCCACGCCACACCCGGACATGGAGGAGCCACGGGAAGCGTACGAAAGAACCGCTGGGACGAAACCCCAAAGACGGAGAGGGAGACCCCGGGACACGGGAGCGGCTGGGCTGAGACCCCACGCACAGACAGAGGAGACGAGTCGGTGGAAGAGACTCCCACACCAGGGGCCAGTAAGAGGAAGTCTCGCTGGGACGAAACCCCCGCCAGTCAGATGGGATCCTCAACACCAACATTCACCCCGGGAAAAACCCCCATCGGAACGCCAGCTATGAACATGGCTACCCCATCACCAGGTAAATATGCATTAATGTTTGTTCTTGTTTTATGTCTCCGGGCATCTGACACCAGGAGCGTACTGGAGTTAATAATAATATTAAAATGTTATTTATATAGCACTTTTCATACAACACATGCAGCTCAAAGTGCTTAACAAAAAACCTGTTTGTTTTTTCACAAAACTGTGTTCCAGGGCTTAACATTCAATAAACTATTAACGTGTCGTACTCACTTAACGGGAAGAAACTCAGCTAACTGACGATACGAACCATTTTTTCCGAAACAAAACACAAGTCTCACAAGAAGCGTCTAAATGAGCCCTGAGCACACTTAGTCAGAACTCACCGTAGAAAGAGATTATTACTTATCGGGTCTGCACAAACAAGATATCGATTAGCAAGCTGAGATTCCACAGATTCTATAAGTATCAAAACTCGCGCCAGGGGAAGAACCCGGACATCACAACACGTAGCTTTACGGAGGAAAAACGGGAGGAATGTCTTACCTATGCTGTTCTCATCAAAAGTTGTGTTCAATGGCATTTCAAACGCTAAAAACGCTGCTGAAGGTTAATCCAATGGTCTGTCACTTTGAAATGATTACTGATAATCCATCTTCATATTTATGTCAATAACGGAGATTTCATATTAGCTGCTACGATAGTGTATTACAGCTTCCGGTTTTGGGCATCATCACTCATTCACCAATGGGTAATGTTTAGATGGATTTTAGGAACTTCCCCTCGATCCTATTGGCTCTAACGGTTAAAAAGAGGTGTCAATCATCAAAATCAAACAATGGGTTCCAGAGATTTAGCAAATCCACCCAAATGACCCCAGAAGTGGGTTTTTTTCTAAATCTCTCTAAAAAGGTCAAATGTCACTTGTTTTGCATCAATCTTGATACAGGGTTCTTATTATATGTTATAGTTTGGATTCCTAAAGCTTTTAGTCTACCATCCCATCATTCAAGGGTAGTTTTCACTATAAGTAATGTTTTCTTTTTTGGACGGACACTACAATTTACATTTTTTTACTATGTTCAATCTGAATTTACTTTAAAATAAAAACATCTATATTGATTCTGACTCGTCTACATCAAACTCACAGGTTTATCATTACTTTGAGAACAAAGATTATTAATTGTCCCCTTTTTTAGAAGTGTAGTTATAGTCATTTGTTCTAGGAATGTCATTTTCGAGCCTGAGACCTGGAAAACAGGCTCGGGGCTTAACAGGCTAAGATATGCGCAATTGCATTCATACTAACAATGTAGATGTGAGGATTGAAGGTTTATACTCTGTTGTTGAATCAGTTCCCTCTTCGGTTTCCCTCAGGTCACCTGATGAGCATGACTCCGGAGCAGCTGCAGGCGTGGAGGTGGGAGCGTGAGATCGACGAGAGGAACCGTCCTCTCACAGACGATGAGCTCGATGCCATGTTCCCAGAGGGATACAAGGTAAATAACCCCTACTTGCATCTCATTTTCAAAAATAAAGTACAAGTAAAGATGATTCAAAGGTCCATACGAACAAATTCAAAACTTCATTTCATCACAACAAAAGGTGTTGATCTGTGGAATAACAGTAATGATGAGACTATTATTTAGAAACCAAATCCTGAATGGTTATGAGCAGGTCCTGTGAACTCATACTTTTATTTCTTGTAACTGTAAAAGCTAACACACTAGCACAGATCTCACGGTATAAATAGTTTATTACTTATCGGATCTGCACAAACAAGATATCTAGTAGGGCTGCTCAATTAATCATATTTTAATCGCAATTACGATTATGGCTTGCAACGATTACGAAAACAACGTAATCGAAATAAAACGATTATTTTTTATTATTCTTTTTTTTTAAATTGGTTTTTCAGTTGAATTATACTTAAAGTTCAGGGTAATCAACTGTTAAAAACATTCTGTTCAAAAAAAAATGTTCAATAAATTGATTTTTCAAAGTAAATGGATAATCGTTTTTAATAATCGTGATATCAATTATTGACCCAAATAATCGAGATTATGATTTTTGCCATAATCGAGCAGCCCTAATATCTAGCAAGCTGAGATTCCACATATTCTATAAATATAAGTATCATCACTGTGCGATCAAAACTCGCGCCAGGGGAAGCAAACCCAGACATCACACCACGTAGCTTTACGGAGGAAAAACGGGAGACATGTTTTACCTTTTGCTGTTTCTGATCAAAAGTTGTGTTCAATGGAATTAACTGCAAACGTTATTTATTTTTGATTGTTTTGTAAAAAAAAATAGAAGTGTTTACAACATGACGCTGATGACCTAATCTTTTATTTTCAAGAACAATGTACGCTAGAGGGGGATAGTAACGTTTTTTAAGCTTCTTCTTGCCCCTGTCGAACATGACGGAGACTATTTGAGCATTTTTTATTTTTTTGTACCTTGAAGTTATTTTTTCTCTTTGTTATAATTATTATTATTATAAAAAAAAGATTGACTCCTGTAGCTAACTTCCTGCGACTCATTCTCGCCTGTTCAGTCCCCACATGGCTGCGTCAGGGCTAGTATGTCGCTAGATGAACACCAGCACGAGAATTATCAGAGAGGACCTCCTTGCCTCTCTGTTCTCACCCTGCACCCGTTGGTTACATCTGATTTATTTATTGACTAAAACATTTTTTTAAAAGGTAGCCAAAGTACTGACAGTTTGTTCCTCTCTCCAGGTCTTGCCTCCACCAGCTGGCTACGTGCCGATCCGTACTCCAGCTCGTAAACTATCCGCCACACCGACCCCCATGGGAGGCATGACAGGCTTCCACATGCAGGTGGAGGACCGAACCACCAAACAGATGAACGACCAGCCCTCAGGAAACCTGCCCTTCCTCAAACCTGACGACATCCAGTACTTTGACAAACTGCTGGTGAGCACAACACATAAATATATATAATGTTTGTCCTGTCTGAAGTTCAGATGATGATTGTGGTTCTTGTTTTGTTTTAGGTGGAGGTCGATGAGTCCACTCTGAGCCCCGAGGAGCAGAAAGAGAGGAAGATCATGAAGCTGCTGCTGAAGATTAAAAATGGAACACCGCCCATGAGAAAGGTTTGTCGCTGTTGTGATCTTACGAGTCCTTTACATAACAATAAATAAACGCAAACTTCAACACCGTATTAAATAATACTAGCAGAAAAAACAAAACATCCCAAAACCAACAGTGTATTTGAAACATTCTATTGAAAGAGAAGAAAAAGGTGAATGCATTTACACTATATAGACCTATTTACTCATGCATTCATTGCAAAGGGATATGACAGGAAATAAAAAACACATACAAATTAAATTAGACGAGCACCCGTTCAAGGGACAAGTGATTCCTTTTTTTAAAGGAAAGAATGAAAGTGTTTCTATGTTCTGTAGAACTAGTAGGATTTTATGAATTTCATAGTTAATTGATTAAGATATTTGGTGTGTGTGTATATATATATATATCCTTTATTTAACCAGGTAATGAACTCAAGAGTGACCTGGCCAAGAAGGGCAGCATGAACAAAGTTACAACAGATAAAATACAGGCACACAAATACAGCTGTAAAACACAAATAAAATTGCACATTAGCCAGTCAATATGAAAAATAAAAATCATTAAAAACTGGCAACATTTAAAACGACTTCAATGTTTGTACATACGAGCACTCGCATCTACCAATGGAGTCGTGTTCTGTCCTCTAAGATGGACCTGAATTCCCAAAGGTGATAACATGTGATCGTTTCAGCTCCTTCTGCACATTATTCCAAGCAGTGGGGGGCAGCGTATTTAAAAGCTGTTTTACCCAGTTCTGTTCTTACTTTAGGAACCAGCATCTGAATAAAGTCTTGGGAGTATGTATGAAAAACTATTACGGTTTCCTGAGAGTTTAGTTCAGGTAAAACAAAGACTCAGTAAAAAGTTGACCTTTACCATCCTAGAGCGCACAATGAACCTCTTTCCACATGAAATGACATTTAGATAAATGTGTGCTTTCTTTGTTTTACTTATATCAATATCCCTTTTTTAAAACCTCACCAAATGTCCTCCTTGAGCAATCCTGTGTATCTGTTCTCATGTCACGACCAAGGACGTCATATCATAAAACTCAACAATGGTACCTACTGCAAGATCCACACCCAGCGCTCAGCCTCTCCGTGGCTGCAGTGTGAATATTTGCTTGCTAAAGAATCTCCTCTCTGAGGGGCTGCTGCTCTCAGTGGAGGTCGAAGTGTCGGCCATCGCTCTGCTGGGAGTAGCAGACAGGCTTCAGTCTCATGATGGTTCCTGTCTGTCTCACTGTCTCTCTGAATGATTAAAGATCGTCTGCTCTCGCTTGTCTTTAGGCCGCTCTGCGTCAGATCACAGATAAAGCTCGTGAGTTTGGAGCGGGTCCTCTGTTCAATCAGATCCTGCCGCTCCTCATGTCTCCCACCCTGGAGGACCAGGAGCGCCATCTGCTGGTCAAAGTCATCGACCGCATCCTCTACAAACTGGACGACCTGGTTCGACCATATGTACACAAGGTAAGACTCGGTAAAGATAAGATCAGTGCTTAATATTGTGTTTGAGCAACTTGATATTGTGGGAAACGGTATTTCGATCTCTGTCTACACACAAACTGAAAGATTGGCAATAAAGCATACTTTGATCTATGATATAGACTCCGCCCACAAAGCGTTACATTAATGTTTGCATTAACATTAGGTACATATTTGTGACTCCCTCTTAGGGCTGCTCGATTATGGCAAAAATCATAATCTCGATTATTTGGGTCAATAATTGATATCACGATTATTAAAAACGATTATTATTTACTCTGAAAACATCCATTTATTGAAAAAAACCAATTGAACGGTATGTTTTGAACAGTTGATTACCCTGAACTTTAAGTATGAATCAACTGAAAAACCAATTAAAAAAATAAATAATTAAATGTTTTCATAATCGTTGCAAGCCAAAATCGTAATTGCGATTTAAAATAGGATTAATTGAGCAGCCCTACTCCCTCTTACACCATAGTGTGAAGCTTTGCACATTCTTTGACAAAAACACTTGTAGAATTGCACATCTCCTGCCAGACAAGTGCAGCTGCTGTGCTTTGTGCCACGCAGCTGTTGTTTCAAAACATCTGGCCAAATGAAAGCCAGGGTACGAGCCCCGTCGTCTAACTGTGGCGTCTGGGGTCCCTAAGAATGGCAACAAATAGTAAAAAAAAAAATTACACATCTCATCCACTTTATGTTTGTGCTGTTATTTTACATTTGAATGTCTCCTACTGTGTTCAGTGTAATACACCAAAGCAATTCCTTGTGAATGAAAGCTACTTGTGTATATACCAGATTCTGAAACTAACTTTCCTCCTCGTGTCCAGATCCTGGTGGTGATTGAGCCGCTGCTGATTGACGAGGACTACTATGCCAGAGTAGAAGGCAGAGAAATCATCTCCAACTTGGCAAAGGTAATGGAAGCCTTTTTATTTATTGTTTTGTCACACACACTCTGCCTGGCTTCCTGCGAACTATTCTCGCCTGTTCAACCTTTCCATGGTCAGATCAGGGCTAGTCGTTCGCTAGATGAAACTCCAACACGAGAGCTATCAGACGTGACGTTCAGTTCTCGTCTGTTCTCAACCTGCACCCGTTGGTTACAAACAGACATTTTCATAAAATAGATGGATTTTAATTATAAACACTGTAATTACGGACAACAATTTCAACATATGCAGATGCGTATCTCTGACTACTCCTGATCCCTAATATCTGGAGATATTTAACACTCATCTCCTTCCCGTCTCTCTCAGGCTGCCGGTTTGGCTACGATGATTTCCACGATGAGACCCGATATCGACAACATGGACGAGTACGTGAGAAACACGACAGCCCGAGCCTTCGCCGTGGTGGCCTCTGCTCTCGGTATCCCCTCCCTCCTGCCTTTCCTCAAAGCTGTGTGTAAGAGCAAGAAGTCGTGGCAGGCCAGACACACGGGCATCAAGATCGTGCAGCAGATCGCCATCCTCATGGGCTGCGCCATCTTGCCCCACCTCCGCAGTTTGGTGGAGATTATCGAACACGGTGAGTCATGGTTTGCACATAAATGGGTTTGCGGGTCTTTTTTAAACGGCAACACACACTGTCATGTCTGGACTAAGTTGTGTTCCCGCTCTGACTTTTGGTTTTATCTGATTCTGCAGGTCTTGTGGACGAGCAGCAGAAGGTCAGGACCATCAGCGCTCTGGCTATCGCTGCCCTCGCTGAAGCCGCCACACCGTACGGTATCGAGTCCTTTGATTCTGTCCTCAAGCCCCTCTGGAAGGGTATCAGACAGCACAGAGGAAAGGTGAGAAGAAGAAACGAAATTTAAATTGATTCCACAACACAATTTATATTTGACAGCAAACAATTAGTGTTTTTTCAAGACGTAGTAATTGCACATCTTAAGTTTGTCTGTCCGGAATGCCTTTTTTAACACAAAGATAAATCAAAACAGTAAAAAGTACGAACATTAGGGAGTGATCAGGACTTCACAGTAAAATCATACATTTGTAAAAATAAAATCTCTGCACACTAAGCCTGCATGTTGCTGCAGTGACGCGTCCTAAAACCCGGAAGTAAACTCCTTCCGGTTCCTTCGACAAAAACCCAATGCAATTTCTCGTGATCCGTCTCTTCAATGTGTCTCAACCAAAAACCTTATTTCCTGCTATTTTCCTAAATCCTGGAGAAATTGCATTGCTTTTTGGTAGAGATGTCCCGATCCGATCACGTGATCGGGGATCGGAGCCGATCACGTGATTTTCAAAAGATCGGAATCGGGAGAAAAAAATCGGGAATCGGGATTTTTTTTTTTTTTTTTTTTTACTTTTTATTTTATTTAATGTTGCAAAACAAAAATGACCATGTTCAAGTCTTAAAGTCATCCTGAGGCCTTAGTTTTAGTTTCAAATTACACAACATCATGTATGTGTTGCTTCTTTGGGCTTGTTTTCATAGACCTGGTTGCTTATTTCTCTCAAATCTGGCAACAGAGTGGGCAGGGCGCAGTGTCTAATTGTAGCAGTAAGCTAACGAGTACTGATGAGCTTTATTTTGTTTTGATCCAATGCTGCACAACTGAACTGATCCAATGCTGCTGTGAAAGAAAGAAGCTATATCCATGTTGGATAGAATATCCAATTTAAATACAAAAATAACCTTAAGGGACAACTTGAATGCTTTTTTTTCTCTTAATGCATTGCATAAAGATCGGATTGGGAAAA